GCAAGAGAGTTTCAGGTGTTATTGAGGGCTTCACTGGTCATGGAGTCCAGAGAGGGCAAGCAATTAAGTACGGCCAGTGCTAATGGATGAATGGGAAGAGGCAGAACGGTAGGAGGCCAGGTTAAGGCAGGGAGCGGATTCAGCGAGTATGAGTACTTGGAGAAAATAACAGCCAAGGAGGCTTCCTCCAAAGGAATGTCTCCACACTAAGAATCTCAGATGTAAATTCTCCGGGATGACGGGGCATGTTGGCTATGCTGGAGTGTGGCTTACGTGGACAGGAGGTCTCCAAAGTCAGAATGTTCAAAGAGCAGTGAGGTGGGAGGGATACTGATGTTGACTTGCAAAGACTGAGAAGAATAGCATTTGTAGTCTAGGAAAGGGGAACTGAGTCATGACGGACTTTGGCAGGGCATCAAAGGTGCTACAGTGGAATGGGTGACCTCCAGCAAGGGTTGGGTTAAGGGTCTCAGACTAGCACCGTAGAGTAAGGGGAGGCCGATCCCTCTTCCCTTCCCACTGGCAGCTGAAGTGGAAAAAGTTCCTTGGGAGAGGCTGGTTTCTAAGCGGTCAAGGGGAGCAAAGTGGCAGGAAGAAGAGGACTACATCTTGAATGGTACCAGTGAGCCCACATGCAACCCCTTTACTCAGTCTAGTAGTTTTCCACAAGAGTGTGAGGGTCTTGGAGAATTTACTCCTCACTTGCTATAGAAAAAGGGCACTGATTTAGTTCATCATCCTTATCACACGAAATAAGTCAAAAGATGGGAATGATCTCTAGGCCACCAAATTAAAATGTATCTAGCCAACACAATAAAAACAGTGTGTTTATATAATGCCCAAGCCGCCCCCCCCCCCCCATAATTTCAAAGGAGACCTTGGGCAAATCCCTTTTGAAGTTCCATTGGTAAAGTGTGGCATTGGCTCAGAATGGAGACGTGGTGTGGCATTTGTGGTTAAAAACACAGACTCCAGAGTTAGAAATACAGACGAGACTCTTAGCTTTACCATGTACTAGTTATGAGGTCTTGGGAAAATTAAGTTGCCCTCTCTGAGAATATTTTAGAGTTTGCAGGCTCTATGGTCTTTATTGTGACTACTCAACTCTGCCATCATAGTGTGAAAGTAGCCTTAGCTAATACGTAAACTGTGTTCCAATAAAACCGTTAATAAAACAGCTCCAATAAAACACCTGTCTTTGTAAATAAAGACAGGTGGTGGGTTGGATAGGGCCATTATAGTTTATAGACCTTTGATCTATACAACAGAAATAACAGACTTACCTTCAAGGGTTGCTGCAAGAATTAAATTGGTTACTACTTATTTCTTGGCACGTAGTAGACAATAAATGGAAACTGCCATTATCATTATTTCCAAGGTTGTTCCAACTCGGATAGTCTGTTACCATAGATCTATGGCTCTGAGACCTTCTGAATGGGCAGAACAAAATTCCAAATCGAAAATAACTTTTCTGAATGGAGAACCATATTTTTGAGGGAAAGTGGTAACTGGTAACAGGGAGTGTTTCACATTACAAGGGCCAACTAACGCCGCCCCAGATTGTGGGTGGTCTCATTTCAAAATGACAATATAGGTGGAGCTAAGATACTAATTTTACTTTGTAAAATGATCTTTGTAAGAGGAGGCCCGGTGGCGCAGTGGTTAAGAGCTCGGCTGCTAACCGAAAGGTCAGCAGTTCGAGTCCACCAGCTGCCCCTTGGAAACCCTATAGGGTAATTCTACTCTGTCCTGTAGGGTCGCTAGGAGTTGGAATCGACAGCAGTGGGTTTGGTTTTTTGGTTTGGTTGGCTTTTTCACTTGATGTTTTTAACATCCATCTCATGTTGAAGCCAACTGTTCAGAGTTGAAAAGTTGGGATGCTCTCATAATATCTTAACACAACTGAAGATAAGCCTCCGAGCAAAACACTATGCTTCACAAATGTTTTGGTTTTGGTAAGGTCATTTTATATGGTCCTTCAGCATTCTGGAAGACAGTGTGGGGTAATAAATGATGACTGATGACTGTCCACAGGCGGCTCACAAAACAATGACAACTGGTGCCTAATGTGTTGTCCTTCCTTTCCTTCTCCTCTCTTCTCCCAAATGATCATCTCAGCCTAAATTCTTGGGCCTACTCTGAATAGAAGCCGTGGTGGTGCAACAGTTAAACACTCAGCTGCTACCGAAAGGTTAGCAGTTCAAACCCACCCAGCAGTGCCATGGGAGAAAGACCCGGCAATTTGTTCCCATAAAGATTACAGCCTAGAAAACCCTATGGGTCAGTTCTACTATGTCACATGGGGTCAATTAGATGGCACCCAACAATACTCTGTAAAATAAAACTTTCTGGCTTCTGTATTAAACCACAAAAAGAAAATCAAACCCTTTGCTGTCGATTCCGACTCCTAGCGACCCTAGAGGACAGAGTAGAATTGCCCCATAGGGTTTCCAAGGAGCAACTGGTGCATTTGAATGACCCACCTTTTGCTTAGCAGCCGAGTTCTTAACCACTATGCCACCAGGGCTCTGGATTCTGTATTACTGAGCTTTAAAACACTTACTATGCCAACCTATTCAGGAGAAAAGTAATAACAGAAGCTGACGTTAAGTAAAATTTATTTCTTTAGTTTGTAAGTTAAATGCTCAAGTTTGCTCTTCTTAATAAATTGTCTTATAACACTGAATATATGTCATCAGAAAATGTCAGTATTTGACTTTTACAGTTACAATTATAAGTGATAACAGAGTAGAAACACATTTGATTGAAAAGATGAGAAAGGGCAAGATTATAAAGTGCAGTGTATTTGACTTTGAAATGTTATGTCATAAACAAAGCAGATGTATCCATCCACACAAAAGCTGTAAAAAGAGGGACAGAGGCAAGACCACTGCTGCATGCTAGCATCCAATAGATTGTTATGTGGGATCAAACCCAGGAATCATGGCTGGGTCTTCCCTGCAAAACGTTCAACCACATAAGGATGCTGGCACCACACAGGATTTAAGGTTGATGACATTGTTTTATTTATTTTGGCAAAAATAATTATCATCAAGTAATAAGGCACTCAAATTATTAGGACAAGCATTTACAACACAGGAAACTATATTATTTTAACCATTACTAACTATAGACAACATATTAATGACTCTTATTTATTATTATTTAACTCTAGCACCTATTTTTATAACACAAAGTAATATGTATTATCCATATGCATTGACACTATATATATATATATATATATATTAAGCATTTGTAAATGGCCAAATCTGTGTTTTTTGATTCACACTGAATCTAGATTATTCTGCATGCCCACAGGGTTTCTGAATCTCAGTTGGTTGATAAAACACGACACATGAAACTTTTAAGCTGTTGACATTTTGCATAGATGTTACAAATGAGTTGTAAAGATATATTTACCCACTTCTGTTGGCATACCAAATCCTTGGGATGTTTGCATACACATGGTGTTAACCTAAATCCTATCACTAAAAACCCAGCCCCAAGGGAGGGTAGAAACCGCTGCTTGAAGCCTCAGGGAGCAACCTGGCAGTACTGCTGCCCCCCAGGCTGCCTGCCAGCCCCCATACCCTGCCCTGGGGGAACCTCTCCCAAGCGGGTATAAGGTTGGGCTCTCGCCAACTCAGTCTTTGCTGTGTGCTTAGACTAAACCCAGACAGGACTTTGACAGGCTCCTTGTCTGCCAGGAAGCACACTACACTTACCGTCTCAGATGTCACTGGACATGTATGACCACGTTTTAAGGGTGTGTGGGTGGGGTTAAAATTTGGTTTGACATCAACACGGGTTTAGGAGAAAAAAAGAGCAGTCACTGAGCCATGGCTAGGGAGCCATCCCGGAGGGCTTAGGCGAGGAGAACGCCCAGAATCCACCGCTCTACACCACTTTGGGGGGTCCTGAGGTTCCCGGGAGTTTCTTTGGCATAGTAGGTAATTTTTTTTTTTTCTAGGCAGGGAAGTGGAGATTGCAGGGAAGAAAAATTATCAGGTTACTAAGGTTATGCGGAGGTAGACAGCTACTCTGCTCTGTAACCTGGAAGCAGTCTGACAGATAATTTTGCTGCTGCGAGTTCAGTATCTGGGAGTACTTAATCCTCACGAGAAAGCAGGAAGAAAAAAAAAATTAAATAACCCTTCTCAGTGCAGTAGAATTTTCTCCTGAAGTCTGTACTGATTTTACTTCTCTGCCAAGTTAACAGAATACAGACTGTAATTATTCTTTCACTTATTTACCCAGAGCCTGTGTTCTAAAAAATCCATGTTACAAAAAACAGTAGCTGTCTGGGAAAACAGCACCCCTCTGAGAAAGGTTTCTGGCTTTGCTGAACAAGGCAAAGTCTTGGGATTTATCCTTTGGGCCAGGTCTGCAAGTAGAAGGCCTGGACTTCTCCAGCTGTGACCCTGAGCAAGGTCAAAGGCTGTCTACACAGAGTGAGGGAGCCTGGCATCCTGGGGCCACGTGGAGGGGACCATGACCACAAATGGAGCAGAACAGAGCTGGGAAGACTGCCACGCTCAGCCTGAGTGCCTCCTGGGCCCCTGCCCCTGCCCCTCACAGCACCCCATGAGGATACTCAGTGACCCCTCCACAGGTGGACTTGGATGACACACCACCCCTGGCAAAAAATCCAAAGCCCAATGACCCTGAAACAGATATATAAAAACCTGCTAACAATCATTTATTGTTTATATACAGCAGAAGGCTCTTTTCTTACAGGATCATGGCGGGGGGCACAGGTGACCTGGGTGGGTTCCCTGTATCACAGCCCTTGCACTTGGGGCCACAGTGTGACCCTCAGTGTGGTGGAGAGGGCGCAGCAAGCAACACATGGGCTGGCTAGGTTTTGCTGCATTTGCAGACACATAGTCCATGCTTTTCAAGTGTCTCCTTGAATTAACAACGCCTCTTAGTTCTTAAGACAAGGAAACAGAAGAGATCAGGACACTGAAGAGAAACCCAGCTGTGCCTCGACTCCCCTGCGGTAGGAGGACGTGTCCCTAAGGCTGATGCTGCCGTCTCAGGCTCTCACGTTTCTGCTTCCTCTTGCGGAGCTGCCGCTGGAGCTGGAGCTTGTTGGTGAAGAACATCTGCTTCCAGCCGATGTCCTCGGCCAGGGCCCTCATGTCGGAGGTGATGGTGTCACAAGCAGACTGGACAATCTGCTCCCACAGTTGGTCACACACGCACAACTGTGAGTGGGAAAGAGTTGGGAGTGGGTTACGTTACAGATGGACGGGCTAAGTAAGTCATTCACTTAAAAACACGGACATCTACCAAGGGTAACAGGAAGTGCGGTGCGGTGGGTAAATGGGTAGAGGTAGAAGGCAGTGACAGAACTGGTGAAGGGACACTGAGGGACTTCTCTTCTGACTGCTTCTAACTCTCGTGAAGGAAGAAGCCACAGCAACAACTAAGAGTGAGAAGAGAGGAGGGATGTTAGAGACTTCAGGAGAGAGGAGAAGACCAGTTGCTGTAAAGTCGACTCCAACTCATGGCGGCCCCATGTGTGTCAGGGTAGAACTGTGCTCCATAGGGTTTTCCATGGCTGACATTCCAGAAGTAGATTGCCAGGCTTTTCTTCCAAGGTACCTCTTGGTGGACTCACACCTCTGACCTTTTGGTTAGCAGCCGAGTATGTTAATCGTTTGCACCACCCAGGAACTCCTTAGGAGAGAGACCCATTGCCATCGGGGCGATTCCGACTCATAGTGACCCTATAGCATACAGTAGAACTGCCCCATAGGGTTTCCAAGGAGCAGCTGGTAGATTCGAACTGCCGACCTTTTGGTTAGCAGCAAAACACTTAACCACTGAGCCACCAGGACCCCAACTAGGAGACAGAAGAGGGTTTAAAATAGATCCTTTGGAGACTTAGAAAGATTAAGAAACCAGTTCCTAGGGGAAAAAAGTATTTTATAAACATAGTGTAGTCTCAGTCTTCTAAAACACTGTCTTCAGTTCTGCAGGGGTTTTTCATGTCAGGTATATGTTCAAAAAATATGATCTCCAGAAACATAGGGAAAGAGGAGAAATGAAGGGATGAAACCCCTTTTTCTAATATTGAAAGATGTTAAAGCAGGTAATTGTATTTGAGACAATGGAATATATTGCTATGAGGCCACCTTCAGATTTATGAACTGTGATACCTGTGTTGCCTTATTCTGGTACCCAATCTGTGACAGAGACAGTGGTGCCCAGCAAATGTTCCACTTGTTCTCCCACAATTCCCTGTTCCTTGTGGTTAGGTGGGGCTTTGTAATTAGTTCTGGCCAAAGGACAGAGTGTAGAAGTGGCGTATCAAAGTATAGAACAACTGGGGCATGACCCTCAAGGTCTCTTCCCTGCTACAGTGACTAAGGAGGCCACATGCTTCAGGTGGTGCAGCTACAAGATGGCGGTGTCTCCAACAGCCTGAGTCCCTGGTATGGGGCGGAGCCTCCCATGGACCCACACTGGATAAGAATTGTGAATTAAAAAAATAAGTAGTGTTGTAGGGTTGTTTGTGATCCCAAGTCACAGTTTATAACCTACTCTATCCTGACATAGTTACCGTGGAAAGTTTTTTAAATTAATTTTTCTAGCATTTCTACTACACAACCCCTGGCCCCCGCTTGGATCTGTCCTGCTCTGCTCCTTTGTATCCTATCTGCTTCCGGAGGAGGAAAAAAAACCATGTAAGCGTTATCTCTATCTCATTACACCATTACACCCACTTCTGAACAGAAAGCAGGCTGTACTCTTTACTTTTATATACCATGAGATTATAAAAGTACCATAATAAGGGAAAAGAATGACTTCCAAAGAGAAATGAATATATAACAAAGTGCAATCATTTATGATCCTTTCTGCATAAATACCAAAGCAACGGCTATGATATTCACATAATGAAGGCTGCTGTTAAATAGCAACACTAAAGTGTATGGTATCTGCAGCTCCCCAAACATCTTGATGTTAGGCAGGTCATCATCTCATCCTACCTTCAACTGTCCCTTCAAGGTTTTGTTTCTCTATTCAGATTATAACGTATTCTAAATATAAACTACACAAAGGCATTCGACTGTGTGGATCATAGCAAATTATGGATAACACTGTGAAGACTGGGAATTTCAGAACACTTAATTGTGCTCAGGAGGAACCTGTACATCAACCAAGAGGCAGTTATTCAAATAGAACAAGGAGATACTGTGTGGTTTAAAATCAGAAAAGGCATGCAACAGGGTTGTATCCTTTCACCATACTTATTCAATCTGTATGCTGAGCAAATAATCTGAGAAGCTGGACTATATGAAGAAGAACGCAGCATCAGGACTGGAGGAGGACTCATGAACAACCTGTGATATGCTGATGACACAACCTTGCTTGCTGAAAGCAAAGAGGACTTGAAACACAGATTGATGAAGATCAAAGACTAGAGCCTTCAGTATGGATTCCACATCAACACAAAGAAAACAAAAAACCCTCACAACTGGACCCATATGCAACATCATGATAAAGGGAGGAAAGACTGAAGTTGTCAAAGATTTCATTTTACTTGGATTCACAATCAATGCCCATGGAAGCAGCAGTCAAGAAATCAAGCAACGGTATTGCACTGGGCAAATCTGACGTAAAAGACCTCTTTAAAGTGTTAAAAAGCAAAGATGTCACTTTGAGGACTAAGGTGCACCTTACCCAAGCCATGGTGTTTTTAATCACCTCATATGCATGTGAAAGCTAGACAATGAATAAGGAAGATCGAAGAAGAATTAATGCCTTTGAACTATGGTGTTGTTAAAGAATACTGAATATACCATGGAATGCCAGAAGAACATATAATCTGTCTTGGAAGAAGTACAACCAGAATGCTCCTTAGAAGCAAGGATGGCGAGACATCGTCTCACATACTTTGGACATGTTCTCAGGAGGGACTAGTCCCTGGAGAAGGACATCATGCTTGGTAAAGTAGAGGGTCAGCGAAAAAGAGGAAGACCGTCAATGAGATGGAAAAAAGAGGAAGACCCTCAATGAGATGGATTGACAGAGTGGCTGCAACAATGGGCTCAAGCTAATAACAACTGTGAGGATGGTGCAGGACCAGGCAGTGTTTCGTTCTGTTGTACACAGGGTCGCTATGAGTTGGAACCAACTCGATGGCACCTAACAACAACAAATATAAGCAACAAAGGAAAATTCTTAGAAAATTTCTTAATAATAAACATTAAAACAGATCTTCTGAACCTCCTTTAAAAGGGATGAAATCTTACACTAACGTAGATGATTGGCCCTCTTCAAGCACAATGCACTTCAGGATATCAGTGTGTCTTGTGTAACAGATTACAGGAGAAAACTGCAAGGCTGGGGGTGAGGAGGAGGAAAGAATTGTAAGAAGAGAGCCAACATTTCTACCAGTGTAACTGCATTTCAAGCAGCCCTGGTGGCACAGCGGTTAAGTGCTTGGATGCTAATTGCAAGGTCAGCAGTTCGAACCCACCGGCTGCTCTGTGGAAGAAAGATGTGGCAGTCTGCTCCCATAAAGATTACAGCTTAGGATATCCTATGGGGCAGTCCTACTCTGTCCTATAGCGTCGCTAGGAGTTGGAATCGACTCAGCGGCAATGGGTTTGGTTTTTGGTAAACTGGAATTCTGACTCATCATACTTTATACTGAAAATACTTACAGAAAACACTCTAAGTTGGTCTACAAAAAACTCCCATCTAAGACCTCCAAACCCAAGGACTCTTTAGTCTGGTGAATGCCAGGTTGCAAAACACAAGGTAGCATCCTGATTAGTGTTCAGCAACTTTGACCAAAGCACAGCTAATCATGGATTTCACGCCCTCTGGTGGTAGTACATGCATCCAACATACATAAGTGCCCACAAAAAGCTGAAGGGAATCCCAGGACTTATCTAGTTAAAACCTGTCTTTTTACAAACGGGGAAGTTAAGGTTCAGGGAGGATGGGGTGCTGCCCCAGGTCTGTGGTGTGTAGTGGCTGACTGGGAACAGAACCCAGCTCTCTGGCCTGGTGCTGGTTTAAATACACCACGCCGCACGTGCATAGTAAAGATAGAAGAACGTCTCTCTCCCCGTCTCCAAAACAGGAGAGACCTAACCTCCAATACAGGATGGTCATTTCAATGGAAGAAATGTAGCTTTCTGAGAAACTCTTTATATTACCCTTACCCTTCCCATTTCATCACAGGTTATGAAATCTCAGTCACAGACTAACAATGCTGGGTTTGCTACCTGAATTACTGGTATAAACCTTTTGTTTTTTCAAAGAAGGGAAGGACAGAGATTGGATAAGAATAGAGCCAAGAGTTTTTGTTTTTTGAAAGACGAGAGTGATTTGAAAAAAAAAATTAATGTACTGAAAAGAAAGAACCAATAAAGAGAAAGATTTAAAAATCAGGACTAAATACAGCATAGTATTGAATTGGATTGAAGGAGCCCTGATGGTGTGCTCCGCATCTAACCAAAAGGTTGGCAGTACAAACCCACCAGCGGCTGCATGGTAGAAAAGACCTGGTGATCTGCTTCCATAAAGATCACAACCTAGAAAGCCCTATGAGGGCAGTTCTACTCTGTCACACGGGGTCACTATGAGTTGGAATTGACTCCACAGAACATAACACAACATCCTGGATTGGATCCTGGAACAGCAAAAGGGCATTAGTGAAAAAATTGGTGAAATCGGAATAAAGTCTGTGGTTTAGTTAATAGTATTTCACCAATATTAATGCTTACTTTTGGTAAATGCATCACGGCTAGGTAAGGTAGCAGAACTTGGGTGAAGGGTATATGAGAATTCTCGATATCTTTACCACTCTTCTGTAAATTTAAAATTATTTAAAAACAAACAGTTTTAAAAATAATAATAACAACATAAGGGAAAGGAGATAAGTGACAGACTGACGTCCCCAGGATGAGGCCCTGGAGCCAGGTGGCAGGTGGCACTGGCTTTGGATACGAAGGGAACACCTCTCTCCCTAAGCTCAAAGGAAAGGGTTGGACACAGACACAAACCATTTAATAATAAATTCCTCCCAGGAGTTTGAAATGGAAGCCTTTTTTCCCCATTAATAGAATAGTTAGATAAAAATAATTTATAGAAAAAGGGACAAAATAGGGAAATGGAACACAGATCAAACTTTGATTGAAAACAGAAACAGTTAGTATTACACGGAAAGAAAAAAGCAGCAGCCTCGGACCATGCTCTGTCTTCTAACAACTCTGCTCTGTGAGGATACTGGTCCACGCTCCGTCTTCTAACAACTCTGCTCCATGAGGATACTGGACCACACTCCATCTTCTAACAACTCTGCTCCGTGAGGATACTGGACCATGCTCCGTCTAACAACTCTGCTCCGTGTGGACACT